GCCTTCCAGGGGACTTGTGGGCAGTCTTGGGTTATTGCGGGTGTTCCCTCAAAGGGAGCTGTTTTGTTTCTCTTTTGTTTCTGTCCATGAGCTGAGCAGTTTTGTCACATGCTATTACCATGATGTTCTGCCTTGTCAAAGGCCCCAAAGCAACAGGGCCAACCAATCATGGATGGAAACTTCCAAAATCGAGCCAAAATAAACCTTCTCTTTTTATGAGCTGATTATCTCAGGTATTCATTACAGTAATGGAAACCTGAGTAACACAGGGGGACAGTAATTTATATGAAAAGTATTTTTTTTAAGGTAGCTATATTCTAGTATCTAGAAGCTATACCAGTATCCAGTTTCAAAGAAATTATGTTAAAAATTTGAAGATCCTCAAAAGAAAGTCTACAGTCAATGAGATAGGCACTCCATGGTACAAAGGCAATCTAACTTCTGCCTGAGGATATGGTAGTGTTTTAGGAGACAACACTGGTTAGTTTAAACTTTCCTAGTATCAAAGACACAAGTAATAGGGGCTGGGGTTGGGGGCTCAGTGTACAGCGCTTGCCTAGCACATGTGAGGCACTGGGTTCAATCCTCAGCACCACATAAAAATGAAATAGAGATATTGTGTCCACCTACAACTAAAAACTAAAACATTAAAAATATATATATATAAAAAGACACAACTAATAATCTTTCCCTTCTCTTTGATTAAGCCCTACTCTGCTGCCAAGGAAGGATATGCCACTGACCAGACTCCCAACCAGGTGGATGGACCCATAAAGCCAGGTGTGAAGAGTGGAAAAACAAGAGTCCATACTTAGTTACTGGAAAATATTCACATTAGTCACTTACCTGATTGAACTGACTGATTTATAAACCAAGAGTGGTGCTTTTCCTTGAAAACTTTGATTTCAAACAGCTGGTGTAGACACATATTGAACAAGTAAATGGCTCCTTCCCCTATAAGACAAATCTGGTTTTTATATGTAAGTTTTCTCTCTCTCTCTCTCTCTCTCTCTCACACACACACACACACACACACACACACACACACCACTCATACACATATCAAAATATTGCCCTACAGTTCTGAGGACTGCTGCTAATATGAGCGTAAACATACATAGATACATCCTATACACACTGACTCCCAGAAAAATCTTAGAGCTCTTATATGCAAGTGCTTATTTTCCAGCTCTATAATCTTTACTGAACTTAAATCCAAAAAAGCAAAAGTGTAAGTTTTTTATCTTAACCACTACAAAGACTTTCTGCATCAGATCAGAGAGAAGGAAAGCCATAACTAAATTAGCAAACCCTAAGAGTTCAGCTAGATGGTCTGAGCTGCTACATGGGTCCCTGTCTCCAGGGCAACATGTGCTCCCCCCAACCCCAGGCACACAGGGATCAAGACAGGAACCAAGTTCTCTTACCCCACAAGTCAATCCAAATAGGGAAGACAAGGATATGCTTCAAGATATGGGGAGTGATTAAAGCCCCACTCAACTGAGAAGCTGAAAGGATTTTCGTTTATTTCTCAAAAGAGGGTGGGAGCCCATTCATATATTCATGTTTGATCTCTTCAACTAATGAAAAGAAGAAAAAAAAATCTTTCCAACTGGAGTACCATCTCTGGAGTCAAGAACCCTGAGCCTGAACTTGTCTCCACCAAGAGCTGGGCATGTGCTCTTAGGGAAATTACATAAACCTTTTTGTGCCTCTCCTTCTACATCTGTAAAATGGGGCAATATTGCACTTATCTCAGTTTTTTAAATAAACCCAGAACACATAAATAACACAGTACTTAGCATATGGTATGTGCTCATCAAATGTTGGCCTTTATTTTTTCTTGCCAGTGTAGCAAATAAGAACATTTGTTCCTCTATTCCTATGATAATTAGACAAAACCAAATTTTTAGAAGAAATCTGGCTTTTGTTAAATGCTTTAGAATTTGTACTGCTACCCCAAACTTTTCTTGAACAAACATTTCTCTCCTCAACTTAGGCTTAAATATGACACCAATTACATTCAATTTCATTTTAGGGAAAAGAACATTGGAGGAAGTCATGAATTTTTTCACCTCTCTTGTTGCTTCTATTGATCACGTCTCTCCAACAATAAGGCACTACCCGTTTGCTTTCCCTCATTTCACTATCCAGCATTATGGGCACCAGGAGAATGCTCTCATCTGCTAAGAATCAGGTATCTACTCAAAAAAGCACCACCAATAACACTATACTACATACATACAGAATATTTTAATATTTTTGCCTAAAAAATCAGAAGATAAAACTGAAAATATGCTGAATGTAAAGTTAAAATAAAACTGATATCCAAGAAAATATGAGTCTCTTCAATATACAATACTTTTAATTAAAATGAAAATCATCCCTGACAGGAGAAAAAACAATGCACTACTTTTTGGTAGGAATAAAATAAGGGAAGTACAGTTAAAAATGAAACTAATCAAAATCTTGGCATGTCAAGTAAAAGCCTTCTGCTTTTTTACTTTGGTTGTTTATTTTACTTTGTAATATAAAATGAATATAAATGAAGGCTAACATTGAATAACTACTAAGAAAAGTTGGCTTAAGAAACCCAAAGAAAATTCATCTGTTTTCAGAAAGAACTCAAACATGCTACTTTTTTGTTTTGCCAACATTTCTGATGACCTTAAAGTTCTGTGGATTAAAGCTATAAGAAGAAATTTTTCAAAAAATGTCGAGGGGAAATTATCTGGGAAAACTAGGAAATGTCATCAGCTTGCTTTTGTGACCTCATGATGCCATCTTAACTTTAAAAGCTGTTTGGGAAGAAGACGCACCAGTACCTAATGCGTCCATGCACTCATCGTCAGTCACACCAGTCGTCAGTCACACCAGCCACAGGGAGAAGGATATTCAGGACACCAGCATCTGAGGAACAGGAAGGGAGGGAGAGCTCACCTGAACAAGGGTTAACCAATTTTACAAACATCAGGCCACTTTTCGTCTTCTTTGAAGCATCTTTTAAATATTCTGAAAAGAAATGGGGGTCATCAAATTAAGAGATGCTTGATCTGCTTCTTACTTTACCTACTTCACTGTTTTCCTTCCTAAATTTTAACTTAATTTATCGCTTATAAGCTGATGACTGGTTTCTCCAGGAGTTGCAGTGGAATTTTGGGGAGTTTTAATTTATCTGTTTGGGAAGAGTATTTATAGAAACCGAAAAAGGTAAAATTCACAATGCCTGACACTGAATCAAATTCATTCAACAAAGTGAAAAAAATATGGCTGATGGTGTGGAACAAAAACCTCAATTATTGAAAGAGGGGTACTGATATTATACACCACGAATGAGAATTTACAAAGGCATTGGAAACAGCATTTCTCATGCACAAAAAGTTAAGTATAGATAGGAGATTTTTTTAAAAAAACCAAACTGATTTTTTAGGGATGAAAAATACATCAGATAGGATTAATGGCAGAAGATTAATGAATTTGAAGACAGAGAAACAAAGTCTAAAATGAAAACACACAAAGAAAATTTTTAAAAGAGGAGGATCAGTGACCTATGGGACAAATTCAAGCACTTATCATAATAAACAGCTAATATACACCTAATTACACCTAATTAAAGTTTTCAAAAGAGAGGAGAAAGGAGAACAGAAAAATATTTGAAGAAAGTATGCCTGAAATGTTTCCAAATTATGAAAATTGTAACCACACACATCCAAGAAGCTCAGTGATTTCAACCACAAAAGAACCAGAATAAAACTATACATCATAATTAGTAGTTTGAAACAGCAATAAAAAGAAAAATCCTAAAAGCAGTCAAAGAGGGAAAAAAGACATATTTTGTACAGAAGACCAAAACAAGGAATGACAGCAATTTTTTTATGAAAACAATGCAAACTTAAAGACAATGGAGAAACATCTGCAAAGTACTCAAATAAAACACCGCAATCCCATAAAAACTCCCCTGAAAATCAAGGTTAGAAAATAGACTTTTTCAGGAGTATAAGACCTGAAGGAAATCAGCAACATACCCACACTACAAGGAATGCTAAAAGAATCCTCTGGCAAAGACTATGATACCAGATGAAAATCAGAATCTAAACAAAGAAACCAGGAAAGTGAGTAATGGTAACTGCAGAGGTAAATAAATAATAGTCTTTAAAGATTACTCTTTAAACAAAAAGAACAATTTACTGTGGGGTTTATAACATATGTATGCATAAAATCTTTGACAACGATAGTATCAAGGCCAGGAGGGAAGAAACATAAGGATACTCCTCTTATACCATGTGTGAAGTGGTAGAATATCGCTTGATATCAAATATCAAATCACTTGAAGGCAGATATGATGATTTAAATGTGTGTACAATAAACTCAAAGGCAATCACAAACATAAAACAAAAACAAAAAATGCTATTACTAATAAGACAACAAAGGAGATGAAATAGAACTTAAAAAATACATATTTAATCTAAAAGAAGGTAGAAAAAGAGTAAAAGGCACAAAGAACAGATGAAACAAATAGCAGGAGGATAGACTCACCCCCAACCATATCAACAATCACATTCAATGAGCCTGGTCTAAACATCCCAACTAAACGCAGATACGGTCAGCCTGGATTTAAAAAGGTGAGATAAAACTGTATGCTGCTTGCAAGAAACACACTTGAGTCACAGACACAAGTAGAATAAAAGTAAAAGGAAGATTATATTGTGCTTATCATGCTAATACCAACCAAAGGAAAGTGACTAAATTGATAACAGAAGACTATTACCAGGGATAAAGAAGGCCAGTTTATAATGATAGAAGGGATTAGCTCAGAGGACATAACACTTCTAAATATGCACCCAATACAAGGCTTCAAAATGCACAAAGCAAAAACTCTACTCTGTCCGCCCCCCCCCACCATTGATCTGTTTTCTCTATTCATTTTGCCATTTTAACAATATTATATAAATGGAACCATACAGATTTAATTTTAAGAATCTTTTAAGATTTTCCTTTCTGTAACTTATTTCCAGATAAAGTAGAGCACTGTTTAATATTTTTCCAAAAAACTAAAGAGTAGTTTTCCTTCCTTCCCCTCCTGCTGATTCTCATCCAACTCACCCCCAGCATCATGAACCTTCATATATATCTTAAGATCCAGGTGACCTCTTTCTGTGTTAGCAATATATCTTGCTTCACTATAACATAGACTTTTCAATTTTAACTTGATGAATTATTGTTGACTTTCTGTTTCTTTTTTTTTTTCCAAAGTTACTGGATCTAGTGAACCTGACACATTCTCCTTCAGTTTTCCCCATTCCTCCAGAGCCTACACTAATCAAAAAATTTAAATACTAAAAGTCTAAAAAATGTATTTCTAACAATTCTCCAAGGGTAGTAGTGTCTTTATTTTTCCCAAGAAAAGCAGTAAGACCAGAGGATTAGTTATAGCCTAAAACGCAAAGCTATAAGAACTTCTGAAATTACTAACTACAAATAAACACGGACACTAATGTATTATGCTGCAAATACCAATGTTCTCTGAAATATGCTTTGGGATCTTCTCTCACATGGCGCAGACAAAACAACTTGCTGTTGGACTGAATCTTTCAACATGGAATTGCTAGTGAGATGCTGTACTCAGGTGGTTTGCCCCTCTTCACTAGAGAAAACATTTCAAAGTACGTTCCTTATGTCAATTATTAATCCATCCATTATTGACAAGTAAAAATTGACCCAGCCCCTATCCATATGGAGCTCATGCAAATCCCATGAAAGAAACGGGTTTAAAATCAAATAATCACTGAAACGTAAGCTGTTCATGTAACAACGGCCAAGAAAAAAAAATACAAGGAAAATGAAACCTTATGATAGAAGATCTAGATGGGGAGGTCTGGCAAGGCTTCCTATGCCTTGGAATTGCTTAGTTCTCTGCTTTTATAATTAAGGGGTCAAGGGAATTATATATTCACTTTACCAACTAAATCTTTAGCTAGCTCCTGGGCCAAAACCAATGCAGAGAATTTTTTTTAATTGATACTCAATAATTATACATATTTATGGGCTACACAGAGTATGATATTTTGATATATGTATACAATGTTTGCCGATCAAATCAGGGTAATTAGCATTCCTGTCACCTCAAATATTTTGAGCTATTTTAAAATACACAATAAATTATTGTTAATGTTGGCACCTTACTGTGCTATAAAAATGCTTTATCTTATCTAATGGTAATTATGCATCCCACTAAAAACCTCTCCTTACCCACCCCACCCCTCAGTTTCTGGGAACCACAATTCTACTCTCTGTTTCTAGGAGATCAATATTTTTTAGCTTCCACATAAATGAGAACATGCAGCCAACCTATTTTTGACAAAGGAGTCACGAACATATGCTGGGAAAAGGACAGTATCTTCAATAAATGGTGTTGGGAAAACTGGATATACACAGGCAAAAGAATGAAACTACACCCACCCCTATCTCTTAATATATAAGGTCAACTCAAAATGGATTAAAGACTTAAATGTAAGACTTGAACTATGAAACTACTAGAAGAAAACAATAGAGTTTTTGCTCTGATCAAAGATTATTTTGGATGTGAACCCAAACGCACAGGCAACAAAACCAAAAACAGACAAATGACACTGTATCAAAGGAAACAATCAACAAAGAGACAATCATTAGACTGAGAGATTGGTTTTCTTTGATATGCTCATTTTTTAAAACTTGATTTAATAACAATTTTTGAAAATTGAGTGATTTTACATAAAATGCAGGTTTTAAATATAAATATTTCACTAAACACGGAAAAAAAAGTCATTAGATAAAAATTTCACCTTGCACAATCAAAATACCCTGGCAACAAGCAGCTCACGTGAATGGATGGCAACTACCATGCCCTGGTTCCTTGACACCCGTTAGCATCCTGAACCTCATGACTGGACAATTACCAAATGCCACACCTGCCCTCACTAAACTGCCTTCTCATTGGCACTCATGGCAGGACAGGGTAAATATCAGGTGCTAAAAAAAAAACAAACACTGAGCCATGAAACAGCACCCTCTTACTGGACCTTCTTATTCTACCAATTTTATGCTACCAGGTCAGGCACTGGGCATCTAGCTGGGAAACCAAGCTCCTGCCCAATGTATCTCTTTTTGTCTTAAACTCTTTTTCCTCTGATATTAGTATGGCCATTCCAGCTCTCCTTGAGCTACTGTTTGCATGGAATATCTTTTTCATCCTTTTACTTTCAACCTGTTTGAATCTAAACCATGTGTCTTATAAATAGCATACAGTTGGAGCATAGACCCCCACCCCTGATTCTACAAATCTTTGCTTTTTAATAGGAGTGTTTAATGCATTCCCATTCAATATAATTACTGAAAAAGTAGGATTTATGTCTGCCATCTATCTCTTTTGTTTCTATACATTCTGTAATTGTTCCTCTACTCTTGAATTACTGCCTTCTTTTATATTTATTAGATACTTTCTAGGGCACCATTTGAATTCCTTTCTTTATTTTGGGGAAAGTTGTTTTCTTAGTGGTTGTTCTGGGAATCTTAATTAGCATTTTAACTTAAAACAATGTAGTTCAGATTAATAATAATTTAGCTTAACAGTATTTAGAAACGTTCCTGAAATATATTCCTTTTCCTTCCTCCTGCTTTGAGCTATTATTATCATACATACAGTGTATACCCATTGACACAGTTCTGTAACATTTATTGCTTTATATAGGTGTCTATTAGATGGAAGAGTTACAAACAAAAATGCATTTATACTTTTATACAAATTCTATTTTCATATGGTATGTACCCATTTACAGTTATCTTTACCAGTGTTCTTCACTCTTCCTGTGAATCTAAGTAACCATCTGGTGTCTTTTCCATTCAATCTGAAGAACTCCTCTTGATTCTTTGTGGGATGGTTTTTCTCTCTCTCTTATGCCTCTTACATGTATAATGCATTCATATTTAATCACTGCTATATTAGGACATGCCTGCTTGTAATGAATTTTTATTTTTGTTTATCGGGGAACAACTTAGTTT